CCAGGAGGAGGCCTAGTATGAGGCAGGTCGTACCCCTTCCTCTGCAGCGTCTGGTCTGGACGCTGGGCCAGGTGACCCCCGGGTCTCAGCCAGTCTGGCAAGTCCTATGTTCACCCACTCCGAGATGCCCCTCATTCCTGACCCGCAGCCCCCTGCTATCCCAGCGCTGGCCCCCTCCACGGCAGACCAGGCAAACCGCCCGGCATGCCAGGCTGACAGGGGCTTTGCATGCAGGGCTCAGCAATGACTGGCCACCCGAGGCCATGCCACAGCTCCAGCCCGAGCCGTGGGACCACAGCACGCAACCAGCAAAGGGGTGCCGGTGGCGGGGCAGAGCCCGGTACCTGTGTGTGCGGCAGAGCGCTCCCCGCAGGCAGCAGAAAGGGCTCCCCTAGGACCGTGCCCACACGGGCAGAGTACACGTGGTCGCCCAGCGCAGGACACAGCAGCAGCGTCAGGTGCACCAGGAGCTGGCCGGGAAAGGCTGTGGCAAGGAGAGTCGGGGTTAATACGGGTACCTCCCCCCCACCCTGCCCCCATCCATGGGCAGCAAACGCACCCTCAGCCCCTCCTGCCCAGGGCCCCTCCCTGACAAGGATGGCAGGAGACCTGGGTTGTCAGGAAGAGCTGAACATGCCCCACCTGTCATGGGCTGGAGCTGCACCAGGCCGCAGCCCGGAGCCGCGCCCAGCACCTTGTAGCGGGTCAGGGTTTGCTTCACCTCCTTCCTCTCCACGCTGCGTCGGGACGGCGCAGCCACCGGCACCACCTGCAACCAGAGCAGACCCAGGCGCTCAGGGAGAGGCTGGAGCCAGAGGGACTGGCCAGGCCCTGCAGCCATCCCCTCCCTGGGGCCCCACAGCCCTTTGCCCCCAGGACACAGCCCGCCGACTTAACCCTTTCCTTACCAGCTGCAGGTCCCCAACCTGCTCCAGCTTCAGTCCTGTGCGGATCTCCCCCTCCATGGCAGCTGGGACCCCGGCAGTGACAGCGCTGGGGGGAGGGAGAGGGGATTACAAGGTGGCTGGGCTCCGGGAGATGAGTGGGATGAGTTAGTGCCCTGGGGCTCCAGGACAGCGCAGTCTCTGGCACATGGCCAGGCGCCCCACTGTGGGAGGGGGACACTCCACTTGCCAGCAGGGGGCAGGAGCACTCTGCAGGATGGGGCCCACTCACCAGTACGTGGGCAGGGGAGGGGGTTTCACTCACCAGTACGTGGGCAGGGGAGGGGGTTTCACTCACCGGTAAGTGGCGGGGGGACGCCCTGCTCTCCGGAGCTGCGTGAAGAACGCATGGAGCTGCTGCGTGGTGCCGGGGCAGCTGGAGAGAAGCACGAGGCCAGAGCTGTCCCTGGAGGAGGGGGCGTCAGGTTCAGTCCCATGGCACAGACGGTGCCGGAGATGGGAACACAGCGCTGAGCTATGGAAAGGCAGCGCCCTGCTCCCCAGCACCCTCCCCACCCCGTCAGGGTCCCTCCCTTCCCTGCCCCCCCAGTGCCAGGCCCTCCCTCCCCTGGCCTCCCTGCCCCACCAGAACCAGCCCCTCCCTCCCCTGACCACCCCACCTCCCCATGGCCCCCCTTGCTGCCCCCCCTGGCAGCCTTCCCCACCCCCCAGAACCCCTCCCCACCCCTTTCCTCAGGGCCCTACCCTACCCACACAAACCAGGCCCATGCCCTCCCATTCCCCCCAACCAGCCAGCCCCCTTCCTTCCCTCGCCTGCCCCACCCCAGCAACCAGTGACCAAGCACCCACTCCTCTCCGTGGGGACCAATCCCCGGCCCTTCCCCACTCACTCACTTCCCAGCTGCTTTGACCACGTGGAGCTCAGGAGGGAGAGACAGCCTCTGGCTCAGGTCTGGGAGCAGCGAAACCAAACTCAGCTGCCCTGGGCTGCCTGGGGGGGGGCACAGGGAAGGAGCCATGAGCATGGAGACCCGGCCCAACCCCCGACCCGTGTCACTCCTCCTGCTCTTGGGGCTGCGAGAGGCCAGGGGAACACCCCCTGCACCCCAGCTCCCCCTCAGGCCGGGAGTGGAGGGACAAGCCCCTTCCTCCAGGCCTGGCACATGTGGGAGAAGTGAACCCCAAGCACTCACCTGTTACAGCCAGGCCCGGGGGCTTGCTGACGGCCACCAGTGGTCCTGAAACAAAGGAACAGGCCAGGTCAGGGAAAGCCGGGCAGCCCTCCCCGGCGTCCCAAACCCCCTCTCCCTGGGCTAAAGCCAGCCCAGACCCAAACCCAGGCACCCAGCCCGTGGCCGCACCCGCCGAGCAGCCAGCGCCCTCCCGCCCAGGCCTCAGCAGCCCCATCTCCCTGCACAGCAGGGTCTGGCTGATTCCCCGCTGCCCCCCACGCTGCCCCCGCCCCACCACCTGTCCCCAGTACCCTGCCCCCCGCCCCCACCCCCAGTACCTGCCCCCCACCCCCAGTACCTGCCCGATACACAACCGCTGCCTCCAGCAGCCCCAGCGCCTCCTGCTGGCTCCGCGGCCCGGCTGGCCCCAGGGTGCTGCCTCTGCCCGGGCCATCGGCCGCCTGCCTCCCGGGCCCCCCGGCCTCAGGGGCTGCTGGTACCTGGGGGAAGGAAGGAGCGAGGGGAGCTGGGACCGAGCCGCAGAACCAGTGAGCGGGGCCTGCTGGGGTGGAGACGGGAACCGCATCTAGTCCTAGCAACGCCCCCTGACTCCTTGGGGGGAACCCCGGCGCAGCCCCCCTCCCAGCCCCCTCCCCCTCCACAGCCCCCCTCGCCAGCCCCCCTCCCCCAGCACAGCCCCCTCCCTTGTACAGCCTCCCCTCCCCCTCCACAGCCCCCTCCCCTGGCACAGCCCCCCACCCTG